TGTCCCTGTGTGCAGGAGGTCCCAAATCCCCACTGGGACCCCTGCACACAGAGGCTGCTGCCGGCTGGGCAGGCAGCCCGGTTCAGTTCTGTCTCGTACCGGGTGCGGGACCAAACCTTGCTGCAGTTCTGCAATTTAAAATGCAGTAGGAGGTAGTGGGCAGGCTGCCTGACTCCTACTGTCTTTTAAGTAGCTGAGCCGCAGTGGAACTGGTCCCACACACGGCACAAGCCAGAACTGAGCCAGGCTGCCTATCAACTAATCAAGTAGTGGATAAAAATTCTATCGACTACTCAATTAATTAAATACCCGCATTTTAACATCCTTAGATTGATGAGCACATCGTCAGATGGGCTTGCACCATTAAGTTTGAATTTGGATTTTAACTTTCTAAAAGTTTAACATGTTACATGTTCAGGTTTGGCTTTGAGTTCAGATTAATCTTTACTCAGATGTGTTTACATTTTATATAGAATGATGTGACCTGCTTTGGAAAGGAAGTAGAATAAATAGAAATGGAAGTGGCAAGGTCACCTTTAATAGCATATGAACTGCTTCTTAACAAGCTTTACAATTGCTTTGTTTCTTCCTCTCTTAGTGCTATGAACAGGCTTAGTCAAAGAAAGCCCTTAAGAACAACATAAGGAAGCTGCAAAAGATGTTATGAAAGCACAAGAGCTGCCAGACTAGTTAGTACTAACACAGCATTGTCCAAAAATTGTATTGTGATACAGTGTCCAGAATGGGAAAACCCTTTTTTTTTTTGGAGGAAGGACTTATATTGTCCTGAATTCCTGTGTTTTAAGTGAGACATAAACAGCATAAGATTTCACTGATGTGTGGCATGTATCTAGTTTGTGGTTTTCATTGATCCATTTGCTGTTGACTTTAAATAACACATTTTGGTTGAATGACAGGTTTATAAACTGTAAGCCTGATCCCACAAAGTTTGCTTATGTACATAGTCCCACTGTCATAAATGGATGGAAGACCAGCCCATGTGATGTTTTCCAAGCATCATTACAGTTGTTCAAAATTATAAAGGGAATGCTTAACAATGAGTGAAAAGTAAAAGAGTCTAAATTTTAAGTTAAGGTACCTGAAAATTTCTGCATATCAAAGTGTTAAGGCACCTCCCTTATATGTCTGATGACAATATAATATTTATAGCATACACTGCTTTAGCATCTTTCATCTGAGGACTTAAAAGCACTTTACAAACCAGTAAAAAATTGCATTTTGCTTCTGTATTCCATGTCTTTGTTACCCTAAGACTATACTACAACAATGAGCTTCTTCATTATACCTTCCAGAAAAACATCCCAGAAAATAGTTTGTGCAAAAAACAACAGCCAACCCATAGGTGCCAACTCTGTGTGCGCTTCATGGCTGGAGCGCCCATGGAGAAAAATTGCAGGTGTTCAGCAGCACCCACCAACAGCCAAACACAGCTGTTTTGTGGTGTGCAGGCTCCAGAAGGGAGCGGGGATGGGGCTCACTTGGGGGAGGGAGTAGAAAGAGGTGGGGAAGAGAAGGGGTCGAGCAAAGTGGGGGCAGGAAGAGGCAGAGCAGGGGTTTGGGTAATGGGGTGGAATGGAGGTGGAGTACATATGAATCACATGAGGAGTATATATGAATCACATGCTTATTTCCCATGTTAGGAGATGAGGAGAAACTTCTATTTTTTCATAGAATCATAGGACTGGAAGGGACTTCAAGAGGTCATCGAGTCCAGCCCCCCGCCCTCAAGGCAGGACCAAGCTCCGTCTACACCATCCCTGACAGATGTCTATCTAACCTGTTCTTAAATATCTCCAGAGAGGGAGATTCCACCACCTCCCTTGGCAATTTATTCCAATATTTGACCACCCTGACAGTTAGGAATTTTTTCCTAATGTCCAATCTAAACCACCCTTGCTGCACTTTAAGCCCATTACTCCTTGTCCTGTCCTCAATTGTGTTCTTTCATTGTGTTTTAATATGCAAAAAGCACATGGATTCTTGGATAGGAATTTTTTCTATTATATTTTGAAAAGTATTGTGGGTCACAAAATCTTGTCCCCTAATACCTTAATAAATTTGTTAGTCTTTGTGTTGCACTCTGGCCTCCAGACCCCCGTTGTCGCCCAGCTGGAGGTCATAGCAGAGGAGGAGCAGGAGAACCAGGGCCAGCTGCAGGAGGAGATGGAGACCATGACCTTGTCCCTGGAGCCGGTGCCTGTGAGCCAATATGTCTCCCAGGCCTCATTGGATGCCAGGGAGGGATCTTTAGGTGAGTGGTCTTAGTTTGTCACATACACAGGGTGGGGGAGGCTGGCGCACAGCGGCAGGGTGCAAGTGTCGCTCAGGCTGTTTGGGCTGGACATTGTGCTGCGGTCCATGCACGTGGAACCACGTGCAGCATTAGTGTGTCGCACGTGGATGCGGCAGGCAGCCCCTGAGCACAGCCTCAGTGGAGGCCACACAGCACCTGCCATGGCTGGAAGTAAGATAGCCAGAAAGGCACAGGAACAACCCTAGATACACCAAGGAGTGCCGCACATAGCACACTGGCATGCCTGCACATGCGAGGTACCACCTGCTCCAGCAGTGCTGTGAGCTGCAGGTGTGTGTGGACACCAGGGCGGGCCAGGCTGCTCCCAGCTCCTCTGATGCTCATTAAGGGATCCCACTGTGGCTGGACACTTCCCTTGCCTGCTTGTCTGTGGGCCACAGGCGGGGGGGGGGGGGGGCTGCTATGCAGGCCACGCATGGCCTTGCTTCCGGGACATCCCCCTTCTCTGGCTCGAGGACTGTTGGTTGCTGCTCACAGAAGAGGACATGGCCTCAGGGACAGTGTCTGCATGGATGACTGACCACCTCTCCCTCTTTGTGTTCTCCACAGCCAGATCAGCTGGGACTCAGGTGCAAGCCACACCCACAGAGCCAGTTGCCAGAACCCGGGGGACCTGAAAGCACGCCAGGTTCATGAAGGCACATAGCACACTGGCATCAGTGTCCTGCGCAACATGCAGCAGACCCTGGCACAGAAGGTCTGCGAGGACTCAGAGTGGCGGAACCACGCATGGGACCAGGCCATGCAGTGGTGTGATAGCATGTGTGCCATCATGTCGCACATGATGGCATACCCGCCTGCTGTCGCTGCTTCTGGCTTCCACTGGTCTGCTTCACTTTTATGGGAAGTTAATCTGTAAAATGTCTTCTGCAAAATTCCTGGCACTATTTAATGCTGTTGTTTCAAAATTGCATTCCATTTGCCTGATTCTGATATGCTAGTCAGAAGTGCCTAATTCAGCACTACTTTTCTAACCTTTTGTCTGGTGCAATAGATCTCACCAAGATTTCTCAAATAAACCTCATCTGAAGGTTCTCTCTCAGGGTATGTCTAGACTGCATGGCTCCGTTAACGGAGCCATGTAGATGAGTTTACTAGACAAAGTAAAATGAAACGGCGATTTAAATAATCACCGCTTCATTTACATCAAAATGGCCGCTGCGCTGATTAGCTGTTTGGCAGCACAGTGGGGCAGTCTGGATGCGCTGCGGTCAACAAGGGAAGCCTTTGTCGACCGCTTCAGTATGCCTCGTGAAATGAGGCTTACCAGAGCAGTCGACAAAGGCTTCCCTTGTCGACCACGGCGTGTCCAGACTGCCCCACTTTGCCGCCAAACAGCTGATCGGCACAGCATGGCGGTCATTTTGATGTAAATGAAGCTTCATTTTTCTATGTCTAGTAAACTCATCCATCGACGGAGCCGTGTAGTCTAGATATACCCCAAGTGATGCCCATGCCCTCTCCTCCTGGCCCCTGCCATTCCTGACCCCGCTCCAGCCTTCCTATTGCCCACTCCCCCTGTGGTCCCCAGACCCACCCAACTCCAATGAGGTCCCCACACCTGAGGTGGCACATCCAGCCCCCCCTTCCTCCTCCAGGTTATGAGCTCCCTCCCCCTTCCCACCTTTTTAGAATGTAAGATAAATACAGACTTTTTGTTTTGTTCAAAACCAAACGGATGTCTTTATGCAGGACTCCCCCTCACACTGCAGGGACTTCAGCTCCAGAGTGCCTTACCCCTGGGGGAGGGCCCCAGCAGTGGACTTTTCTATGCCAAATTGGTTGCCCATCGACCAGTAGCTGTCTGGAGTGGCAGGCTTCCAGATTGCGATTGCGACCCGCTTCTCTAGGGAGATGGCAGGCAGCATGTAGGTGTCGCATTTCCAGAGGGCAGGGGCAAGCCAGGCACATAGCTCCAAAAAGGTGGTCTTCTGCATGTGGAGGTTTTGAAGCCACTGCTTGTTGTCCCACCGCTCCATGACCAAGCCAGTCACACTGTCCAAACTGGTGTTGAGCCTCCAGAAATGCCTCTCCACAGTGGGTTACTGTTGCCAGAGTATAGCTCCTGTACCCAGGGAGAGGGTCCCCAGAATGATCTTGGGGTCGAGCTCGGTCAGGAGCAGGAAGGCAGCTGGCACAAAGTGCTGCAAAAACTACAGCATGTCCATGTGGGGCCATCTCATACCCAGGAGTAGCTCCAGCTCCATGGCACCAAGAGAAAATCTGTGATGTCTAAAAAAGCAGGGAAATCACAGCAAGCACTTCGAGAGCTTTGCTGTCCCTCAAAAGAGGTAGGTTAGAGAAATGTCTGTCCAGGAGGGTCCCATGAAGTGCGTGTCTTTTCAAGACCCCAGCACCAGCATTCGACAGCAACTGGTGACCTAAAGGCCTGGCTGAAGTGGTTCCGAGTGGCCTTTTATTTGAGAAAGTGTCCAATCAGTCTGGACGCTCTCTTTTGAAAAAGCGCATCATTTTTTCAATGCACTTTTTTGTGTGGATGCTCTCTTTTGGAAGAGGTTTTTTCAGAATATCTCTTCCTAAAAAGTCGTCTTCTGAAAGAAGCCTGTAGTCTAGACGTAGCCTCAGTTATTTCAGAATAACGGCTGTTATTATAAAATAGCTTTGCTGTGTAGACATTCCCCCCCAAGTTCTAGTATTCTATGATTCTGTGATCTGTGGGGAGCTCAGACCCCCCATGGACAAGGGCTGTTGTGACTCAGTTCTGCTGCCTTTGTATTCATGGAGGTTAGGTCCATCAATGGCAATTAGCCAGGATGGGTAGGAATGGTATCCCTAGCCTCTGTTTCTCTGGAGGTGGGTGACGGGGGAGGGATTGCATGATGATTGCCTGTTGTGATCCCTCCCTCTGGGGCATCTGGTGTTGGCCACTGTTGGCAGACAGGATACTGAGTTAGATGGACCTTTGGTCTGACCTAGTATGGCCGTTCTTATGTTCTCTGCGTGCCACACTGCACTGCTGCCTCTGATACAGAAGCAGCAGGATAGGCTGACAGGGGGCTCCCCAGAAGTGGGGCTGGAAGCCAGGAGGTCATCTTGGGCAAATGTGAGGGTTGCGACTACACAATTACTAAAACAAACTATATCTAACATCCCTAACAGCTACCTCTCTGAAACCTAATTCATTTTTGTTTATTTTAACTTTACGGTATCTCTGAGGATGAGGAGCATGATCTAATTGAACAGACGAGAAATTTGAGGTACAAAGATGTTAAGTACCTTGCTCAACGCCATTCCATAAGTGAGTGGTATAGTCAGGAGCAGAATCCAAACTGCTGCCTGCCCATTCTTTTCCTCTAACCACTGCACATGCTTCCTCTTTGGATGTAGCTGATAATAATGGTTTGATATCCAACATGTTATCTTTGCATCAAATGAGGTTTCTGATTATTGTTGGGTGTAGTAGGTGTGCTTTGTCTTTTTTCTTTCAATGTTAATGTCTTGTTTTATTAAGAGATCAACGACTATCTAGGCTGATAGAAGTTATTTTTCCCAAAATATTTTAGTAGTGTTAAGTGCAATGACTACGTTCTTGAAATTTCTGAGCTTGAAGATAACAGTCATGCACAGTCCGTGATTAAGAGGAAAACACAGCAGAGTACATCACTGTTAACATGTGAGCTACTGCTAGCCTTGGTTTTCAAAATCACAGACTTTTACAAAATGCTGTTAGGGACAGCTATTCAATTAGTTGTCTGAACAGGTCTTACCACAGATCCAAAACAG